CTGAAGGTGCCTCCTATGCACCCTCTCCTCATGGACATGGGCTATAGGAGGCTTACGAGGTCAGTCATAGCACTGTGTGAATGTGTGGATCCAGTTCAGTAAACTTCCATGCTGGAGTGATGGAGTATGGTGTGGAGATGTCCAGGAGATTTTGTGGTGTTTCTGGACTGCTTTTTCCAGAACGCTGTGTTGCAAGGTGGACAGAACCCAGGAGGGAAACTGGTTATGGCCATTTGCAGAGCACTCTGTCCGACCTCGTAAACTTTCCCACGGCATTTGGGAAACTGGTGCAAGGAGGTTTACAAGGGGCATACATGCCCCTTTGGCTTGAGGAAATCAGCCTAGACCTGGCACCCCAAGGGCTAAACTGGGACTGGAATGCTGGTTGAACCTGAGTTAATTCCTTGCAAAGACACTGAGGGATACATGTTGTTTCTTCCCTTTACCCTCTTTCCTTTCCAAATGATATTTGATACATTAGCCACATTTAACAGAGGGATGAGCATGTAAGAACAGCCTTACAGTGTCAGGCCAGAGGGCTAGATAGCACATTATCCCATCTCTGACAGTTACCATAGAGCTAGAGGATGCCTAGGGACTAGTAAGAGCAAGCAAGTGCACACTGTATTCCTCCCAGGTACTTTCCAAGCCTCTAGCCATTTTTAACTCTGGAAACTTCTCAAGCTGGACACTGCTTCTGTGTGTTCAGTGGAGCTCTGGGCATCTTGTTGCAAAGTGCAGATTCCTGTAAGTTTGTGAAAGTAGCCTGCCAGATCATAGAATCACAGAATGGTTTGGATTGGAAGGGACCTTAAAGATCATCCAGTTCCAACCCCCCTGCCATCAGCAGGGACACCTTCCACTAGACCAGGTTGCTCAAAGCCTCATCCAGCCTGGCCTTAAACACAACTTCCTTGGGATGGTCAGGAGTGCCCTAACCAAGGGAAAAGGGTGCATATTAAGCTAATGCTTTAAGATTTTAGGAAACAACCACAGGGAATATGTCAGTTGAGATGTGAATGTTTTGCATGTTAAGGTCAGCCCAACTGTGAAATGCAAGTGAGTAGAAAACAAGGACGACTAATTTCCAGTGCTGTCGGATTTACTTGCTCTTACTATTCAAGCCAGTAATATTAAACCAAAAGTTAACTTCTTTGGACTTGGAGAGAAAGTGTTATGTTCAGGGGAGAAATTTCACAGTTTTTTAGTAATTGGCAGTCTTGCATCCATGCAGCATTCTGAGAGGGGTGAGGCTCACATGTTAGATAACCCAGCTAGATACCCTAACTGGAACAATAGAGAACATACTTATTTTTGAAAGAGATGGTGAAGTTCACCTGACACTCGCCTCAGTCAAATATTTTGTAGGTAGGCAGGACTGTTCAGTATGGTCTGTGCTAAGGCTGAATTATAAATCATGCTGAGGAAACTTCTTTGAAGAGCTAGAGATCTTACTTTTCAATAAGAAGTTAAACTCGACAGAAGGCACAGAACTACTGAAGCTCAGAAGTCGTTGTGTGTGCAGATGAACCTGAATGAGCACATTACTCCTAAAATCCTTACCTTGAAAGAGAAGAGCATGCTGTACTGGGCTGATAATTGCAGGGTATCTTTTGCAGAGACATTGGTAAATGAATTGGTGAAAGAATAGTAAGTAAGATTAACTTAGTAAACAAGGAAAGATTGCTGGGTGGTTTCCTATCTGACAGAGCTGTATTTACTTGGGCCCAGAGCTGTAAAGGTTGTATGCCATCTCCACTGAAATGTGCCCATGTGGATCTGGTCCTTGGAGATTATCTAGAATAGGAAAAATTGCAACAATTTTAACAATAGCAATGTCAGAACAGCATAACTCCCAAACAGAAACGCTCATGAGGCTTGCATTAGTGTAGCATGTCTTCAGTGAGTGGCTGTAACATGACTAGTCCAAGCTCCCACACTGTGCATAGGGACACAGTTATAATCCAAGCACTAAAATGAAAATCTTTCTCAAAGTAGCTTTAAAGTAGAGAAGGCCTTCAGTTTTGCACACTGTAGTTGCTAATACAATAGATTCAGGTTTTTAAATAACCTTCCTTGAATGATTATTATTTACCAGCCCTGGATGGTGATGGCAGGGCACATAAAGTGGAAAACCCGATCTTCAAAGTTCTTTTGGAGTTACTAGGATGAGAAACTTGCTCTAAAATATTTGACTGCCTAGAACACTTGAAAAAGCCTCTATGTGTGAAAAGCAACCCCATGGAAGTTGTGTGTTCCCTTGGTGAGGAAGAACTCCTGAGTCACCTTTATAGGTAGCAGTTGACATCCCCTGGACATAAGCCTCACGTCTGGTGCCTCTGTAGAGTTACTCCTGCGTGTGAGGTTACTGCTATGTATGTAGCATTTAATTCTGTTAAGAAATGTTATTAATTTTAATATTTCAATGAATATTAAATCAGTGAATGAAACTTTCGTATTTAATCTTAATATTACTGAAAAATCAAAGTTAAGTTAATAATCAGTGCTTAATATTACTAGACATATTGCTTCCTACAGAGCATTTTGCCTATTTCGCTCAGCTCTACTTCCTTTCTTTTTAACCAAGTATGACTGTATGATGGTTTAACTACCATGTTCACAGTATTTTGTCTGAGTGAAGAATGGTGCAGTATTGAGAATTGCTTTCAAATTACTTGATCCCAGGAGGAGGTACTTAATTTAAACCTAGCCCTGGGTCTCAGACTTTTTGATTGTCAGACCAGTGAAAATTTTTCAAAAGTGACAGTGATCTTTTTGGAGCAAGTCAGAGCTTACTGAAGATGATTATTTTTTAAACATTATTTTTCTTGAAATTACTTGAGAGTACTTAATAGGCCATAGTTTGAAAATAGCTGTAGTACGTTATTGAGGCTACTTTGTAACAGTATGCCATTATAATTTAACTTCCCAGAAATGTATTTGAACGTTATGAATAATCCAGTTTTTAAAATGTTCTTGAACAACTATTACTGATAGTAAAATTTTATTTTCCCTGTAGTACTTCCCTTCTGTAATGTGTGATTTTGACTAGAATGTGAATTTTTATACTGTTAGTAGAGAAAATATTCTTTGCTGTTAGATGATACAGTGCCTCAAGACTAACTGTAAGGAAAGTATTTTCATTATGGTTACTCAGACTCTTTGATTATGCATTTTAATATCAAAATAAATTTGTTGACTACTAGAAGCTTGTTCTATGAAAACAAGCCCCTATTGATGGAGTGAAGCTTTATTAAAAAACAAACAAACAAAAATACAAAGAACACACACAAAAAAGCCTTGTCATTTATCTTTGAGGATTTGCACATAACCTTTTGCAAAATTAGATATGATGCCCATATTAAAAATATCTCTCAGACCTGGTGCTAGGGGGATTATCAGAATTATCTTAGTATTCATCTCTGATTTCTTTGAAATTTTTGTTACTTTGGTACAAGATAGAAGCTTACTGTTATGGAATCACTGAACTATGACAAGTCACCTTCCAGTTAGCATGCTTACAGTAGGAACCAAGGTTTGCTCAGGAGAATGTAACAAAACCACGGAAGAAAGCAGGGAACAGAGGGAACTGCATGAAAACATTTTGGTGGAAATGTGGGATTTCTCATTTTCATTCAGACTTCTTCTGTACCATAGGTGGCTTCAGCCAGGAAGAACTGCTAAAAATATGGAAGGGCCTATTCTACTGTATGTGGATGCAAGATAAACCTCTGCTACAGGTATAGTAACTGGTTTTATATTCACTTGAGTGGGTCTCTTCTAAAATACACTATAGGGACGTACCAATTTAGAATAGTGAAAATGACCTTAGTGAGTTTTGCTCACCTTTATTTTTCTTCCTCACCTGCTGCTCGTATGTGACGTGCAGTAGAGGTGACTGGAACTCAGTGATCCTCACCACATGAACAGAAGCCTAAATGGCATCATGCTTGGAGCCACCCTCTGAATGGCAGGTGTAGCTGTTCACCTTCCAAAACCAGAACTGAAATGTATACTGTTATGAAGTGCATAGATTTGGTGTAACTACAGCAGTAACAGCAGGTTGCCCTTAACTGCAACTACAACTTTTATTTAGACTCCTTTCAAAAGTTTCACGCTTCCTTTTCTTTTGTTAGTTCAGTGGCACTTCCTCTACTACCAGTTTTGTCTCTACTACTGACTTCTGTCAGTTACTACCAGCTTGTCTCACTGCTTTCAAAAGATACCAGTTTTGGAGTACTAAATCTTAGTAACCTCACTTAATCAGTTTTCAAATCCCTTGTCTGTTTGCATGAACAAGGTTTATCTCACACATAGCACAGAGAGCTTCACGTACAATTAAGCTAAATGAAAACAGTACCCCTAAAGTTTTACATCATTTGTTAATTCAAATAAATGGGATTTTTCTCCTCATAATTTAATTTTGTCTGCTGTCAAACAGATGATTTGTGCAGAGATCTGGTGAAATGAACAGGGCCTGATACCCTTAAACCTTCTCTTACAACTGACCTAATCCCAGTGGAACTGCAGTACTAAAGCAGCTGTTAAGGAAATATTTTTCATTTTGAGGGATATTTAATTATATTCATGCTTCTTGCTGTTTTCTGGTTGCATGTTTAGTGAGGAGAGCAAGCTCTGAAACGTGCTATGCTAACTATATCTATTTACTTTTAGGAAGAACTTGCAGACAATATCTCACAGCTTATCCATGTGATTCAGAATACAGAGGCTCGTAAGTACTTTGTCATTGTCTCATGCTGCGTAAGGTACTTCCATCTTTGGCGATTTTGAGGCCACTGTCACAGTGTCCGAACAGAGATGGCCAGATAGCTGTGCTGCTTTGGGTTTTTGCTTTGCTTTTTGTCCAACTGGTGTGTGCGATTGCATTAAGGGAAGTAGGAGATGTGGTTTGTTTCTGGTTGCTGCAGGGGAAGAGTTGTATCTCCAGTGTGATAAAGGTGAGACTTTGCAGGGTGGGTAGCAAAGCAAACTCGTCCCCTTACTTTGCCATTCTGCGTAGACTTACTTGTTCTGTGTATTTCCTACTCAAAACCAACCTTGGTTTATGAGCTGTTAAGCACTGAGTATTCACAATGCACTTGAAATAGAGTGCTTGGTCAATGCCAGAACTTGCCTGGGTAGAAATGAGTGCAGAATGGATATTTTGCTCTAACTTGTGTTTATATAACACAAAATAGATACAAAGCTGTCCCTGTAATTACAGTTGTTTTTAAAAGTAGCTGTGTGTGCCTTCTGTTGTGTTTTTCTGAAGTTTAATTGACTTGTCCTTGTACTCATCTCAAGCATGTCTTACCGTAGCTCTATCCCTGTCACTAGGCAAATCCCTAGGGAAATGCATCCCTTTCTCACATTGAAGTGATTTCTTCAGATTTTTTTAGGTTAGCAAAATAAACTCTTGTGCCAGACATGCAGATATTTTTTTCTTACTCTCTTACAGGGCACCTGTTCATTCAGACATTCTGGCAAACAATGAACCGTGAATGGAATGGGTTAGACAATCTGCGTCTTGATAAGTACTATATGGTAATGCTGCTGATTCTCTTGTAGATCTTTTTGGCAAAAAAGGTGTGGTGGTGGTGTGCTGGAAGGCAGTTTTGTCTGCACGTGCATTTATGTATATTGTAAGAGAAACACAAGTGACTATCTTCTTGGCTTTGCAAGAGATACTTGGTTTAAAGGTTTTCACGCACCACTGCAAATCCAAGTGCCATTACAGTTTGTCAGGCTGCAAATGCTTTCTTGTTTGTTTTCCTTTATAACATAGTGATGTTTCTCTTTGAATTCTCATTCTATACAGAATATATATACTGTCTCAGAGGACGCTGCATCAACATCAGTTATTTAGATCAGACTGTTTAAAGACTTTTTTATGACTGTATAAAGTAGTTTGGGGTCACTAGAACCCCAGCTTCCCACCACTGAGTATTCACATTCAGCTATGAGAATTCTTTCTATACGAAACACTGTATTAAAACAAATAGTAAAACCAGGGAAAGAAGAATCTTAAAAGACCTTCCTTTATAAAGAACAAAATAATGTTAGTCATCTTCTTTGAAAGAAGTTAATTCTACTGGTTTTTGTTTCTCAGTGTTAGCAGAAACCAGATATTTCAGTAAGTGAAGTGTTTTGAGCCAGTTTAATGTAGCTGTTTTACCTATGGCTGTCTCTTAGTGGAAGTTTCAAGTAAATGGAAATATTATTGTTGTTATTATCTGTCCCACATTGTTGTCTCCAGTTTAAGCTGTGGATTTTTTTAGATTTGTCAGCAATGAAGAAGTCAGGGTGGTGGAGCAAGAGAAGGCTGTATAGTAGAAATGGGCATGGATTGAAAGGATAGGAAATTAAAATAGGATATGAAAATAGTTTATTGTCTTTTGAGCTTCACCGCATCCTTCTGTTGCTTGACATGATAGACAAGTCTGTTAGAATGTTGGTATGAGGAATCTTTCCACCTTGTTGTGCTAGGAAGAGGTTTATTAAGAAGTCTATTCATCTTACAGTCACAGTAACTCCTTTATCTGTTTTCATGAACAACATGTATAATGAATTCTGTATTTTGCAGCTAATGCGTAAGATTCTGAGGCAATCCTTTGAAGTGCTGAAAAGAAATGAATGGGATGAAAGGTAAGCAGATTTCTGAATGTAGTTGCATCATACAGAAATTGCACAATTTACCTTTATCAAATATATTTTCATTTAATAGGTCCTTTCTCTCCATAGATGGCACTATCATGAAGCCTTAACACTAAGGCTTATTTGTTCTCCAGATAGCAATATGTAGTTTAGAAACAAAGTTAGGTGTTAGACTTCATTAAGTTAAATACACACTGCAATGGATAACTTGCATGTTCACCTAAGTGCATGTTTCACAGAAAGAGATGTGAGAAAGTAATTAGTGTATGCTTATGCCAAACCTGAATGTAGGAGCTTGTCGTGTGGTATTCCAAGCAGTCATGAAACCTGAAGGCTCCAAGTGGACCTTGCTAGATCTGACTGATTTAACGAGAGGTATCAATGGAATATGACCTGTTGAGAGGTTAGACAGGGAACCTGTATACAGAAAATACAGAAAAGGAATTTTTTGTTCAGTTATGTTGTTATTCTGATTGGCTGTGACTTTTAAAACATTTTTATTTTACTGTGTTTTATCATGGTGACTTGTCTTTTTGATAAGACAGAACTCCTTAATTGTAAACTGGCTTCCTGTTTGTGGTACACATCAGTGGTTTCGTTTCTATTTCTTCCATATTCTGTCAAATGGCAAGTAACTGCAGTCATCTTGCTCTGTCTAGAGCTCTTGTGCCACTTCTAAACTTGCTCTGTGTTTAAACCGATGAAGAGCTTTAAGTCTTTTAATTAAAAGTGTTTGATAACCTAGTGGTAAGGTTATCCTTTCTCTCTCTTGCCTTCTGAAATGTGGAATGTATATAGGCATGTTTTTCTGGAAATAGAAAGGAATGCAAAGCTAAAGTACATCCCATCCCCTCTGTTTTACCTTGATTTTGCATTGGGTAAATGCCCACAGGTTGAGAGATGAAAATGCTCCTTGACAGGAACAGAAAGTGTGGGAGTAGATTCAATAAAGCCGAAGCCCTTCTTCCCCACACACATTCCCATGGCAGAGACACGGTCACCCAAACTGATCTCTAACAAGGTTTCTTACAGTTTTGGCCTCCCTTTTTCCAGCTTCACTGGAAGGATGGCCTGGAGGCCCTTCACCACCAGAGGAGGCAGAGTGGGAAGAGAAGATCATGATTCCCTTCTTGGCAGAGCGAGGTGGCTCAAGAGCTGCCTTTCCCTCCTAGGTGGAACCTAGAAGCTGCCTAGAATGTCTTCCATTTCTCCTATCTTTTAAAATGTTTTTGAAGGAAGGAGTATTAAAGTAAAACTGAAATAATCTTGATGGTTTTGGAATCCTTTAAATTCTCTTTGGAACTTAAAATGTTTGTTCTGGGCAAAGTTGCAGGAAGTCCCACAGAATGCCAAAGGAGAAAGCATGGTATATACAAAGCTTCACTTTCTTGAAAGATAGCAAGGATAGGTCCCAGGGGGGGAAAAAAAAGGCTGCTTAGATGCAGCAATAACAGCATGTCTCTGAGCCATGTCACTCCTGCAGTGTTTGTTAGTACTCCAGAAGTCAGTAACTGAACACAGCCATAGTCCTACTTGAACACAGCTCAGTCACTTCTGGCTCGAGCTGTTGGGATGATGATTTCTTTTATGCCTAGCTTAGCCCTCGATCTGTTCTTCAGTATAATTATTTTGCTCTAAGGGACAGTGGATAACATGCTTTATCGAAGGCAAAGTCTGCACAGCTGAAATGAGTTTGAGAAGGATTAGTACTAAATTTAACCATTAAGTGTGCACCAAAATGAAAATTGTCTCCTAAAATGGAAAGGTGCAAGGTGTTGTCCATCAAGGATGAATGTGACAGCTGTGTCTTCAGGAGTGCTCTACTCAAACGGCAGAAGCCCTTCTCCTACCTGTCAATCACGTGGCATAATAAACTTTGGTCCAAACTAAGATGTGACTTTTAAAGCAATGATTTCTACTGTAGCACATCCCCTGTATTGAGTGGATTCTGTCCAATGGTACAAAATCATCTAGACTTTAAGAGTTCTGATTATGGATGGATTTTTTAAATTTTTGTTTTATTTTAAGAAGGAAAAATTGGTCAATGGATTTATTTCTTATGAATGTTAAACAGACATCTTAAAGAACTGGTAAAACCATGAACAACTAGAATTTGTTTTCAAAGGAAATAGAATGTGAGCAATTAAATATTAATATCTTGTTCTTATTTTTATTTTCTCTTTTTTTTTTTTTTTTCTCTAGTCTAATTGAACTGTTCCTGCTGCTCCAAATGAAAGAAGTTATGGACCCAGACAGCAATGCTCCCATTGGGATAAAGTTGCATTTCATTGATATCTATCTGGATGAACTGGCTAAAGTTGGTGCAAAGGAGGTTAGAAAATATGTTGTCATTTTCTTCCTGATTAGTGTTAACTGTGGCATGCGGTATTTTAGAAGAAATACAATATTTAGGTTATATATATTTTAACAGTTTTAAATATAACATAGCAACATTGAATAAGCATGAAGAAAGTGACTTACCACAAGTTATGCTTTTACTTTTGTTCATGTCTTAGTGTAGGCAGTGAGAATACAGTAGTTTCTCTCAAGTGCCTGAAGACTTGTATGCTGCTCCAAATTGAAGTTGGAAATAACAATATAAAGTTTATACTGTTCTCATTTGTTTGCTTCAACAGAAAGGACTGAGCATCTTTTCCCTTGTGTGAACATGTTTCCCCGTCTTTGCTTTTGCAAAAGCTGACATAAAGCCTGCTTATTTCAGTTATACAATCTTGGCTGATTGTATAATACACCTGAATAGAGGAAGAAAGAGCTTTCAGAGTTGTCTGTTAGTTGCTTATTGTTGGCTTCAAGCATTGTCGCTTGTGCTTTGAGCAGTTTCCCCTCTGCATCCAGTTATTCATTTTGCTGGCAACATCTGTCTTTCTTTGCTGTGTACTGCTGGTTCAATTGCCCTTAATTTTAGTTGATATTGCAGTGATGCAGAGTTTTGCAGCAACTGAAAGCCTGTTACTGCAGCTGTCGCTGCTGAACTTCTTCCAGAGAGTCTCTCTCCTGTTACTCCGCTGGGGCGAGCTGCCCGCTGCCCCGCATTTAGCTCCAGGCTTCTGCTCATTTACCTCCTCTTGTTTCTGGCATCTCATACATCTTCTCGCGATGGATGAAGCTATTAGCAATTTTCCATTTGTATTCTTTGCAGTCAGTGCTGAAAGCAATTGTGCCTGCAGCTTTTGTGGCTCTGGGTTGTGGAGTGTGAAAGAGACAGCGTCTGCACAAGAGAAGTGCCCGCACTTGAAGCCCAAATAGTTTCTGCAGCTCCACAGTCACAAAACTCTCATTCCATGGCTAAGCCACTCACAAGAAGCATAGGGAATTAGTCCTCTAGACTACTTCAGATCATAGCTGATGCTCATAAATTGAGTTTAGGGAAGGATTTTTATCTTTACTACTGCTGTACTGGTGTTTTGGTCCAAGCAGTCCAGTTAAGAGAAGCCCAGATTAATGTCTGCTACAGACCTTCTTTGTCAAAGAGGACAAAATTACTTAAGTTTTTTCTGCTTCATGTTTCCATATCTAAAATAATAAACCTCGTTATATTTCTGTACTCAGTAGATTAAATAGTCTGCAAAGCAGTTAACATTTTTATAATCCTTCCAGGGAATATCTGGAAGTTAGTGGTAGCAGTGGTAGCAAAAAGTCACTGGATACTCCTGTCAGTTGGAATTAGACAGTATGCTGAAACTCTTTGACTTCTTAAAGAAGATCCCTGTATGCCAAATATTCAAGGAATTTGAGTATACACATACAGTATTTACTGTACTAATTATTTTTTTCTTTCTAATTACACAGCTCACAGCCGACCAGAATCTCAAGTTCGTTGAACCTTTCTGCAAAATTGCTGCCAAATCAAAGGAGTAAGTTTAATGAAAAGATAAATATTTTTTAAGAATTAGGAAATCCTACATATACCACTCCACATGCTAATAACTGGATTGAAAAAGAGCCATAGTGTAACTTTAGAATGTAGAGAAAGAAGGATACTTTACTAACAATGTGCACAGTCATTTGAAGGTAACTTGTGTTTAGTTAATAGATATAGATAATCTTTATGGATTTATAAGAACTACGTCAACCCCTATTGGTCGGGTTTATGTAGTTATATTTTTTAACATGCATAGAAGAAGTGAGCAGGCTATAATGTTTGTGGTTGCGGTATAATATAGAGCAGCATATAAACACAGTGACATTTAAGAGGGGAACATTGTCAGGACACTATTTGTATTAAAAGACTGCTGTTTAGGAAGTAACAGGTTCACTTTCCTCATCTGGAGAGCTTTTCTTCTTTCTTACCCATTTTCCATGTCTCTCAAGTTTCCTTTTTTTTTTAATGTGTGTGTGCTTTTGCCTTTCAACTCTCATCCCCGCTCTCTTGTAACACAGTCGATGTGTGCTGCATGCCGTAGCCACTCGTATCTTTGAGATGATTGTGGATCAGTCTCCCTACGCCATTGAGGACCTAATGAAAGAACTGGGTAGCAACAATGATGAGGAAGATGCGTCTGAAGAAGACAAACAGGAAAATGAAGAGGTGCCTAAAACCAAAGGTGAGGAGGAAGTTCTAAATGGCCTTGGTTACACTTGCTAGGATTTAAAAATCTGTTTCCTAAAAATACATTTCTGCTCTGAACCAGTCAAACACATGTTCAAGGTGTTGTAAGGGTAATTGTGTTTTCATCTCTTCTCTTCAGATGTGCTTAAACAAAGTGACTCCAAAAGAACATATCACAAAAATCAGTGGTCTCTCTAAAACCAAGCAATATCGGCTTTCTGCAACAGTGCTAGTTGATAACCCAATCCAGCTTTTGGGTCTTGGATATTCAGAACGTTTTACAAGAAGATGAGGTTTTTGGCATTGTGTGGGAGTTTTAGATTTAAAAAAAAAAATTAAAAAATCAGGAATTTTTTCAATCCAGCTACACTTTGGTACAGAGGCAATTTCTTAAAAGGTGCTTAGAAAATGCCACAGTTCTGTATTGTGTGATGGTGACATAAAACAGTTAAATCACTCCAGGCTCACAAGATGGCATGAAGAAAAATGCACCTGATCTCCTATGAGAGTAGTGCATGCTGTCTCAGTTTTTACAAACTAAAAATTAATATTGAGTCCTTTTTTTTTATCGTAGCAGACAGACGTTTGTCAAGAAAATCAGCACAGAACTCTGAAAAAGAAGAGGATGTCTGTGAAAATTCTGATGATAGTATCGGGACTGTTCTTCAGGTTTGTGGTTTGCTTGCTTTGTTACTGATACTCCCCCTCTGTTTTCTTTTTTCCCCATCCCTTTCAAGAGGTACAGAAGTAAAGGGTGTTAATCAGATAAACATGTTACAAAATTTTAATCTCCTTCTGCTTTATTGTCAAGTAGTATAAATGTACTCTGTGGTAGTATGTAGGAAAATAAATCCATGTCTAAATTCTGAATTCTTCTTTCCTTTCTCCCACACCTTTTTTCTGCTCCTCCCTTCCTGTCTCAAGAGTTCAGAAATGTGTGGCAAAAGTCATTATGGGTGGTGAAGCAGTCAGCCTAAGTTACACTGAAGAAATGTAATGGATGATGGGATACATAGGAGAGAGAGTAACATGTTGCAGTTTCAGTTTTTTTAGATCCACTTTCGGGGCAGTGTAGTGTTTTTAACAAATCCTCCAATCAAACACATGTGCAGGCAGATACGGTTCGTGTGTCTGTTTTTAAGCAAGAATTAGGATATGACTCACTTTAAATCTGATATTTAGCTAAATATTTGCGTGAGTTCTCCGTTGGCTTCTCCTTTGAGTAAGACTTAGGGTTAGAAATGTTTGAGAAAGTGATAGTGAGTTCATCTGTTCTGTTAATGAAGCAACTATCTGTAAAGGTCAGTATACATGTGTGAAAGGGGGTGTAAATTTCAATACAGAAAAAGTGCTTTGGGTTTAAAGGAAGTGACTGTTTCAAGGATGTGTGTGTTACTTGAAGTTTTGATAACATGAGTCATATTGGGTTATCTTACACGAATAAGCTAACTAAGAAAAGCTGTATCATACTTTCCTCCAACAGTTTGATTATAAGGCCGTTGCTGACAAACTCTTTGAATTGGCAAGCAAGAAAAATACACCTTCCCTTAACAGAAAGCGTCTATACAAGCTGGTCAAAAAGTGAGTTCTGTTGAAATATACCTTGCATGTGCCACCTTGTCCTAAACAACCTCTACTTTGCTTTCTCCCTACCCTCACTTGTCCCGGTGGCAATGTCATGAGAACAGCCTTGTCTGACAGCCCTGCTTAACACGCATAAGGTGCCTGAAGCCTGTGCTACTATTCCTCATTGGTACTAGAGAACTGCAGCTAGCTGAGGTATATGTACATTGGGTGGATTTATACTGCAGAATGTAACATTAGATTGTGTGTGATGCAAATTACAGATAGAAGTGTTAAATTGCTCTTTTCTCCATATTTTCAGTGATTTGGTTTGAGTTTTTGGATTTCTGAGGCAGATCTCTTCTGGAATGAGCTCTTTGTAACTTCCTGTGTAAAATACGTTGTTCCTATTTTGACAAAACCATAATAAGTACAATGACACTATGCTGCTAGTGTTATTATGGGTACTAAACCACTAATCCTGTTCTATATTTCTTTCTCTCTCTTCTTCCCCACCTCCAGGTTCCAGGACTTAGCAGAAGGTAAGGTCTGAGCAGCATACAGAGACAGTAGTTTCCTTCCGTTAAAGGGTAATGTTCCCATACGACATGTATTGCAAACCTTTTTTAAAATGTGTATTTAAAGAATATTGTTTAGAGGGGTTTGTGGGGTTTTTTAAATTTTATTCAGCCATATTACACATTTTTTGTGAGAAGGCCAAATCGCCTTCACAATTTGAGCAACCCTGTACTTTGTCCTTGAATGAAAGATTATTATTTTCACTTAAACAAATAGGAATCAGTCATATTATTCCTTTGGGGTTGAGTGGGGAACAAGGAGCTGATTTTCTTTCTGTGGGAGTTATCCGGTTCACATGCAGCATAGCTCCCACAGAAAGAAAATATACATATGCTGTTCATAGAAATAGAACTGTTAGTTTTCAGATACCTTATCGTTCCTCCTCAACAGGAATCTTCCCCCAAGATTTTCCTGAAGATGTTTCTACAGATGAAGACGATGATGAATTCAGCAGGGGAAAACGAAAGAAAAAAGCTGTCAAGCCTTGGGAGAAAAATAAGTTAGAAAAAGTAGAAGGTAAGGCAAGATGAACCTTGGGAAAAGAGACAGTCACGTGTAATTTGGCAAAGTTTCGGATACAGGCTGTTCTGAAGAAGACAAACGTGTTGTTCAGGATATGCTGATTTGTATCATGTAGCAATTAAGGTTAAATGTGAAATTAAGGGCTCTTTGAAAGTGGTGGGAATTTTGTTACCAATTTTGAGGCAAGCATCACGTAAAAAATTTAAATCCAAAGCAGAACTTGAAAGCAGTTGTTTGTATTGCTCCGTTGAGCAGTTCCATTTACTGTAGGAGAACAGAAACATGTCAGTCTTCTTAAAATAAGATGACTCTTAGAATGTAGGAATTTGACAGTGTTTCTGGAAAGGTGAAGAGAGTTACCAAGAACCACATGCAAGTATCTCTAACATCATGGCTTATATTGGCGTGGCACTAGCCCAATCATACTGCAAAATAACTCACTGAACTAATGAATCCCTGAGATGCCCTTCTGATGGGCTTAATAGGTGGGTAATAACAACTTTTTCTAGCAATACTGCTGTACAGAATAGAGTTATCACAGGGAATGGCTTAGATGTTAACTGTGACAAGGCAAGATCAGAAAAATATTAATTAGGCCAGGTGCCAGAGGAATGCAATGTCCTGACCAGCTGTAATAGTAAAACTGTTGTGCTGAATGATTGCAGGAAAATGGTACACCTATTTTAAAAGAAAAGGAAAAAAATAGAATTCAGTTGTTGTTTGTTCAGTTTGTGTTTCACATCAGTGTTACATGTTACATTCCTTTTGGGGTAGATTTAGAGGATGAAGAGATGTCAAGTGCAAAGGAGACATCAGTTCCCCAGAAGAAGAGGAAAAAACGGAAGAAGAGGGACAGCCCAAATGCTGATTCTGGAACAGCTGATGGAAATTTTGAGGAGGGAGTAGCTGAAACATCTGGATCTAATGTTTTTAGCCAGGGAAAGGTGCCAGAAAATAACAAGGAAAGAAAGAAAAAGAAATTGCTAGTGAATGAGGCAAATGAGACCACAAACGTAGCAAGTGACACCAGAGAAAGTCATGGTATCCCTGCGCAGAACAGTCCAACTGATGCAGAACAGAGTAAACAGAGTCAGTTGAAGAAAATGAATCCAGAAGTGCAAAATGTTCCTGTAAAACCAGCATGTCAGAATGGACCAGCAAATGCCAGTGAGGCAGAGGATGTCAGCCCATCTGTCACACCTTTAACTCCTAAGGCTGTGAAAAATAAACAGAAACGAGGGGCTGTCTTAGGGAATGGGGACACCCTTTTTCAGCAAACTGACACGAAATCCAACAAGGAGGGCTTGCTGAGGACCCTGTCAGGAGATGCAGGCTCTGAATCTGTGCCCTCCAGAAAGGTCAAATTGAAGACAAAGACAAAGCTAGTTGGCTTGGAAGGGGTAAAAGTCTCCAGCCAGAAAGTAGCAACCTTAAAAAAGAAGAGAAAAGTAAAAGAGGTGCTAAACTCGGTCGAAGCCAATGGGGTTCTGGAGGCTGCATGCAAGAAAAGCAGGAAGGAGGTACGTATCTCTCATTCTTTTATTTCACTTCTTCATGAACTGCCAGGCTTGTTTTCAAATTTGGCTTTAGCTTCACTGAGAGCATTTTTTCTTTTCCCTCCCTTATAGGAAAGCAGCACTGTTCTATTACCATTAAAGAAAAAGAAAGCAAAACCAGGAAATGATTTTGTAAAATTTGAAAAATCAACTTTACCAAAGCCAGTGTTCTTCAGGAAAGCCAGAAGCACCATCTCTTCCCCCAGGGCATCCATGCAGGTAACGTGGTCTCACAGATAGCAGCTGAGTCTGGGCACAGGTCTCTTCCAAAGCTACTTGCCCCAGCAAAGGGTGTGACTTCACTCATGCTGTTTTTTCCACTCTGTGTTAGGCTCCTAACACAGACAGATAAAACTGGAAATGCTGTTGCATTTCCTTCTAGGCAGAGTCACACATGGCTCCAGAGTTTCAGAAAATGAGTTGTAGGCATCTTTAAAATCACTTCTTCCTTCCCCTCTGCTTTCAGAAATACCTTCTTGTTGAAAGGACGCCATTCTGAACCTGCTCATTTTGCAAGAAAGCAAAAGCATAAACTGACTTGCAGTCTTGCTAAGGGACTTTGAGCCTCCATTTCTTCCCATTTGTGGAGGCTGGCAACAGTATGGAGCTTCAAAAGACTGCCCTCTTTTTTTAAACTTCTTAACATATAATATCTGTTTCAAGCCCTCTTTGCACTTTGAGGCCTGAGTGCAGTGTAGCCAGTGTATTTCATACACAAATATATTCCTGTTATTGAATTGTATAATGATGTTACGGAGAGTATGTGATTTCTCTACAAATGGAATATGTTTGCTTTTGGCTAGAAAAACAGTGCTGTCTTAGCAGGGGTCAGTGCTAGAGGGTTGGGGGAGCTCCAAATCAAATGAAGGAAGTAGGCTGCTTGGCAGTGGTTTTGGTAGGATGCGGGTAAAAGAACTCGTAGCATTGCCGCATAAATCTTACTTTATTTCATGTCTTTATTTTACTTTATAGCTGAACAAGCTGCAGTCGTCCAGCTCCAAAAAAGTCACGTTTGGCTTGAATAAAAACATGACTGCTGGTGAGTCTAATACATCTGTGTGTCTCCACAATCTCCCCTGTAGCCGAGGAAGTGGGGAAGCTGTACGCAGTGATACACACCTATACTCTTCACCTCTCTGGAACAGAATTATTCTGATCCTTCTTTGTCTTAATTTTTATGTATGGTTTATAAACCATCCTCAAGTTCCTGTCCAGAGGGGATGGTAAAGTTTAAGACATTCAGCCCAACAGATAGGTTTGTCTGATTACAGGGTGCTGCATTACTGACTCTCAGACGGAGCCTTATGGCTAAAAAACAGTGCAGCAAAGCGATAGAGACTCCTTCCTGAGCTTCCTGTTCTGCAGGGAAACACATGCACCTCACAGTCTTCATTGCTCGCTTCTGTTTCACAGGACAAAGGTGCTAATGTGTTATTAAACAGCTCAGGCTGTTTAATAGCAAAGTTTCAGTTTTATCTTGGCTGCCTGTGGTTTATTAATGATAATGAGCAGATAAATGTCAGTTCCCTTCTGGATCCCACATGTAAGCAGTGTTTTCCCTGTTAAATAAATGTCTTGCTCCATAGCATAAAAGTTTATAACATGTATTCATTTAGCTATTTTTGGTTTTGACTCTCTGAGGTGTGCTGTTGGCCAAGTTCAAATGAAGAACAGTGAGTTTAGATATATGTCTTTATGTTAATATAACACAGCTGCACAAAGAGAAAAAAGTGCCTACCTGCCAGCAGAAGGGATAACAAAGAGCCTCTAGAGTCGTGCTGTTTAACAGCCAGAGCAGAGCCACTTCTTACCCATCATCATCTTTGAAACTGGAGTGTGGTGTTTTTCAGGACAGCTGGAACACTTGTTTCTGAGGAGTAAGCCCAGAGTCTCTGGTGGTCTGTGAAACCATGAGAAACATTTCACAGCCCCTCTATGGATTGTAGCAGACCCCGTTCTCAAAGGCACTCTACTAAGAGCTAGGCTTCACCAACATCACTCAGTTTTTTTGCAAAGTCTTACGTTTCTGATCTTTAGTCATGAACTTAAGGATCTAAGGCAGACTTTGCTGTATGAGGAGAGGCTGAAGTCGCTTGGTTTGTTCAGCCTGGAGAAGGAGGCTGAGAGGAGATCTCATTGCAGTCTATAACTGCCTCACAAGGGGAAGAGGAGGGGCAGGTCCTGATCTCTTCTCTCTGGTGACCAGTGATAGAACCAGGGGAAATGGCAGGAAGATGTGCCAGGAGAGGTTTAGGTCGGACATTAGGAAAAGGTTCTTCACCCAGAGGGTGGTGGAGCACTGGAACAGGCTCCCCAGGGAGGTGGTCATGGCACCAAGCCTGACAACATTCAAAAAGCATTTGGACAACACCCTCAGATGCATGGTCTGAATCTTGGGATTGTCCTAGGCAGGGACAGGAGTTGATCCTTGTGAGTCCCTTCCAACTCACAACATTCTATGGTTCTTATGATTCCAGGGTTGGGCGATTCCACAAGTGATTGACGGGCCAAATTATTCCAGGAGTTGTATTTCTTTTAACTTGTTTGCTTGTTTTTCAACAGAGTTTAAAAAGACTGATAAAAGTATATTAGTGAGCCCAGAAGGACCCTCCCGCGTGGCTTTCAATCCTGAACAGAAACCCCGTCATGGGGTGCTGAAGTCACCCGCAGGTACCCCAGCAGGAGAACCTCACGTGAAGAAACCACTTGCTATGTCAGCTAAGAAAAGACCAACTGCTATGGACTTATTTTAAACCAAGAGATGTGGCCTACTTTTGTACAGGACATTTTGCTAACCTAGAATGTTCTCTGGAGGTATTTTGAACTTTTTTATTTTTTTAAGTTAATACAAATTGTATATACAAAATTCTGATTGTGACCTGAGTCATCACTATTTTGACACCACTTCGGCTGTATCTTGAAATACTTGTTTTATCTATTTACAGAAAAGAAACAAATTCCAGTCTCTGCTCAGGTTTGGTCTACAAAAAGTATGGTCTATGCCCATGTCATTCCCAAGAGACTTGTTCATTTAATTAAGGAATGTTCAGGGTTTGATTGTTCTGATTTTTTAATATTTTTTTTTAGCCAGTTTAAGGAAACTTGCACCTCATGCTATTAAACTGTCTTTCATTGGACAGGGCTTCAAATGGAAAAAGAAAATGTAGATTTTTAAACCTACTAGTTGTTCATGGATTTTAAAATTTTACCCCATCATTTTTGACGTGTCACCCTTGGCATCCTCTTAATTCTTCTGGAAATAACGATTTACCTCATGTCTCTGTTTAATAACAGCCGGACTTGGGTAGCTTTACAGATAGTAAGCAAGCTTTCCCTGGGATAAGAAATGCCTGGCTGCTCAAGTGGTCACTGTTGCAAATAAACCTTCACAGCTGGTTGCCTGCTGAGTTGGGAACAGTCACCACATTATTTTCAGTAACACAAGTGCCAAAGCTGGCTTACACTTGTCACATTGTAAGCTGGCTTCTTCTCTTTACTGTAACTGAAATAATGCTCTCACATGGTAGAAATCTTTGATATTTCCAGGTCTTTCCCCCACCCCACTGCTGTCTTTCCTGAAAGTCTGACAAGACTCCTAGATTTTTTTCTTTAGCAGCTAGTGTCACGACATTTTACCAGAACTCAGATCTCATTCTGTGAGTGAACCTCTGATTGTCCTAAAGCGAGCTAGATCAGCGTACTGCATCTTTGGTTAGGACACACATCTCTCTCTAAAAGCTTTGGTGCCTCTCAGTACAGGGTAAGACTCAACAGCCCAGACAGCTTGGTTTTGGTTTTGGTGTAGAACCAGAAGAATTCTTTCTGCAGCATTTCCTTGCATTAAGTTTTTATTTGGATATTTCATTACTGCTGTGCATGTTTTGTTTTTTCTTTGCTGCTTTGGTAAAGAATGAGGTGTAATAAGGTACCTTTAAGGTATTCTAAGAGGGATCTGTGAGGAAGGGGAGATCACATGAAAATAAAAACTTTGATACGGTTGGAAGATTTGAAATCTTTCTTTGGAAGTTTTCCTTGTGCATATAAGGCAAAGGCTTTGCAGCAGATCTTTACGTTAGAGCTCAGCTTCAAAGCACACAGTCTGGTGCTCAAGCAAAATTATTCATGAATCTTCCCACCAGTTACTTCTGTGATCCTGTAAGAGAGAAGGTAGGCCTGCTTCATTACGGTGTACTATGCTAACTGGTAAACATTCAGCTACTGCAGCCAGCAGAATTAAATTTTGTGATGTAATATATTTGCATATTTTGATACTATTTGTTACCAGTCTTTGATGCTGACTGTCCTCTGCCAGATTACTCCCCACAAGAAACTGGATTGAAACTGCTCTTTCGTTGTTTATCTAGAATTTCTTTAAAATACTTTTGTCCTTGTCGATGGCTGGTTGGTCTCAGTTGCTCAGTTCTAATCCATGCCAGTTTGTGCACTAAGTTTGTGACAGTCCATGGTTTGTGGTACTGCCATGGAAGTGTTAGAAAGTCCTTTTGCTCTTTTCTCATTTAAAGTGAAGGACTGAATTGCATTTGGCTTTGTTGTAATTTGTATTGGCTTGACTGATTAGCAAAGAACTCTGGAGAATACATCTGAGAAAATTAATATTTGCTGTTTGTTGTTCATTTATTTTTAAAAAAAAATTCATTGTATATTAGCATAATACATTTTTTTTGACATGACAGTGGTAAGTAGAATTTAACAAAGACTGTTCAATATGTTGTGCCGTTTATCTTGTACTGTGGGTGAGAAGTCTTTTGTGGAATATGCATAAAAGCATTTCTATGTGCATGGTTGTAAATGCATTAGATTGAAGATGCCATATTCCTCCGAGTATATAGATGCAAACAATCAGTAGGTGGATCTGGTGTGCACAGAAAAATCCAGGATCAGGATGCACTGGGGTTTGGTTTTGTTTGGGTTTGTTTTTAATATATGTAACCTATTAAGGAAATGTATTTAAATGGTTGTCTGGATATTTTTCTATTGGTTGTGGATCCTTTGAACCTGTTGCTTGTCCAAATATTTTGCTGCCCACAGTGCTAAATGGAGAATGCAGAAATGGGCAGTCAGGTTTTTATTGAAAATTTTAGTGATATGATTGCTTAGTGGCATTCATGCATAATCCATCTGTGCCATGAAACTGGTGGAATGTTTTTTATATATACATATGTGGTGTGTATGGTCTTCAGTGGTCTGGAATTTCATTCAGGGCAATTTTATAAACAAAACCCAAGCACTGTCAATGCAGTTTAATCAGCATTGTTGGGTTAAATTGAATACGCTACCCAAAATATTTGGATAGTGACAATTCCAATAAATGATGAAGACAAAAAAAAGGATATCCCAGATGTTACATTTATTTCTAGACACAATGGTACTGTAAGGAGAGATGTATCAATGGGAAAAGCGAAAAGAAAGACTGATCTGACCTGTTTGATGTTGCTTCATAGGTTTTTTCATAGTGTTACTCCAACTCTGCAGCTGCCAGTCATGCACTGAGTCAAAGTAAGTTAATGTGGCATACCTTTGAAAGGACAGGATTTTGTAATGACTGTCTCTGCATTTTTGTTACGAATCTGATCAGCTTTGTACTTCTCAAGCTCTAATAGTTTATAATTCTTTATAGCTTCAAGAGAACTCAAAAGCCTAAAATTAATTCAGCAAGGCAAAAAGTTGAAATTATATTTAAATTATTGGGTATGCAAGATCCTTTATAGTCTACCAAAGCTATGTGACTTGGAAAGCATCAAATGCCTTTTTTGTCGTTTTTTTCCTGTGCTTAGACTTAATTACAGGCAGAAAAAAAAATTCTGTGTGTCATATTATGTACCTCTGCAACAGCCTTGTTAATACAAATACAGTGTCTAAGCATTACGTCATTTAGTCTAGTCCAATAAACTGTCTTTTTTTGTGGACATTGTATTTTGGGTAAATCTTTACGTTTGAGGGGTAGGAGATGGATAGGAGGGTAGCATCTAGGGGGTCACCTGGAAGTACAAAGGAAGTTGTTCTTGCATGTGTGCATGTGCTCTCTTTCTTTTTTATTTTATTTTATTTTGTAAATAACCAAAACTGCTGAAGACTCAGACACACGTCAGAAGTGAGTAGGGTTGTGATGGGATACACCTGTTCATACATCTTCAGCTTCTATGTGATGTCATTTAGGTTCCTGCTCTGGCAGGGGGATTGGACTAGATGATCTTTCAAGGTCCCTTCCAATCCCTGACATTGATTCTGTGATTCTGACCTTTGTAATTGTGCCACAGAGCAGATACCAGCAGCTGAAAGATCGCTCAGGAGAAACAAGTAGATCACATGCTGTCTTTCCTTGACAATTAACATTGGTAATTTAAGTGATAATGGGGCGAGAGGTGTACTTGAAAGGAATAATTGTGCAGGTGCCAAAGTAGGTAAGAGATGGGCACTTGCTACAGTCCTTCCTACAATCAGTTTGCGTGCTCACTAGCAGCAGCGTGCCATATGGAGTTACGTACATATCGGAATCCCACACGGAGAACTGCATCTCCCTCTTGGGTACTGGCTCGCCCAGCAACTGCACAGGATCCATTAAAAAAAAAAAAAAGAATAATGTTTTCTTGACAGGCACAGAATTTTCAGAAATGGAAAAATCTTTATTCAGACAAAAGTGACCTATCCACAGCAGTGGCACTAGTGAAATTAAAACAGAAATCCTCAGGTAAAATGAAAACGGATTCACTTCAGAACCAAGTCCTGTAACAGTGACATCCTTGTTACATGTTTAAAATAATTCACACATCAAAGTTTTAGATGGCAGTCTGTGGTGACAGTGTTGAAGACCATAGTGATAGCATAGTAGATTCAAGTAAATTAAGTGCTGCATGTGCCTTTATTATACATGGTGTCAGGTGGAAATCCCCATTTGCAGTTTAGCTGTGGGTTCAAGTATGACTTACTGCCGTACCTTGTGCCGCCTTCACGCTGTGTGGGATCTTATACACTCTGGGGGAGTGCTCTACAGCAAAACTTGCAGTGCCTGTCCTGAACACGCTCCCAAGGGCTCGTTGTAAGATTGGGTGCCCCTCATGGTCCTTCATAGGATCCACGCAAGCAGGTTGGACCTGGATTGGCAGTTCAGTGATCCGTACTGGCTGTGTTTCCAAGGAAGATGAAAAGTCTGTTCTGCACAACAGCCTGCAAGGTAACACAAGCATATTTTACATTTTATTCCCACCATACAAATCAAGGAGAAACATAGTGCCTCTTTCAAGATTAATGTAATCTGTTACAGAACTAAAAGTTGAACCATAGAAACAACTGTGAAAAAACTTAAAAAAAATAAAAGTGTGGATTTTGTTACTTTAACGTAACACTGCAACAGTTGTCATATGATATTTTGGACAGACACAATTATTAACATGATGATTCTGTGATCTCTGAAATAACGTCAGCATATTTGACCAGTCCTCTGCTGTCAGGCATCTGTAATGGTTGCACCCAAGATTATATAAATTCTCACTTGGGAAAGAGAAGGGCTTCTACAGGTATGTTAGCCAGAAGAGGAAGGTCAAAGCAAACATACCTGTCATGATGAGCAAGACTGGCACACTGGTAACAACAGCTGAGGAGAAGGCTGAGGTACTCAAAGACTTTTTTTCCTCAGTCTCCACTGGCAAGCTCTCTTCCCACACCTCTTGAGTGGATGGACCACAAGATGGGGACTGGGGAAGCAGTCCCTCCCACTGTAAGAGAAGATCAGGTTCATGACCACATGAGGAAGTTGAACATACATAAGTCTATGGGACCTGACAAGATGCATCCCAGAGTCCTGAGGGAATTGGTTGATGTAGTTGCCAAAGCCACTCCATGATATTTGAAAAGTCCTGGCAGTCAGGTGATGTCCCTGGTGACTGGAAAAAGGGATACGTTGCACCCATTTTTAAAAAGGGTAGAAAGGAGGACCCTGAGAA